ATCAATGATAAAGTAAACTATAACGTGAATCGGTTAACACTGAGGAGATTTCTCTTTTACTGTTTGAATAAAATATTTTGACACGTCCATCCATTTTCTGTAGCGCTTATCCTACACCGTGTCGCATGGAGCCTGGAGTCTATCCCAGGGGCTTGGGGCACAAGGCGGGGGACACGCTGGAAGGGGTGCTTCATATTGAAATTCCAGGACATTCAAAAACTTTTCAAGCACAATTGTTTTTGTTTTCAAGGAATCTACAAGATGTAATTCAAACATATTCTTTATTTAAGTAATAATAATAATAATAATAATAATAACAACAATATAATAACAATATAATAAAAATAAAACACAAGCACATTTTATATGCTGCCTTTTCCAGTTACTAGATGATAATTTAAATACAGCGGCTGTAACGGGGCAGTACTGGGCACTCTCTTCTACGAAAATTGGCTAAGGTTTGCCCAGAAATGCACTAGATTTTTCTCAAGGTGCAATTTTGAAGAAGAAGAAGAAACCGCTAAACGGAACATGAGCATGCAAACTCCGTGCACACAACCACAAGCGTGTCCCTCATTAACACATTAACCGACTTTTTTTTTTCTCCCAACTGTTCACCTTTACTTATGATACAACCAAATGAGTTTAAATGAAATTCTAGGCAGGAGTTTTCATCGGTTTGGATGGCGTTTGCTCATCAGAAAAACCGCGGTTCACATCAGAAAAAACGCGAATTCTCTCTGGCGGCATTTTAAAACACCAGACACTCTGTCCCACTCTGTATTCCATTCGTCATTATTGCTGTCATTGTTAATATTATTCTATATAGTATAACTTAAAGCAGCCCGTACATTCATAGCACAATATAAATGGCTGGCCTCATATTTAGGTCAATATTAAAGCACCTATAACAATAAGTTTAGTTAAATTAATGATCAGACTCACCTCGAATCATATCCAAAGGTACAAAAAAATCTTAAATAAAAGCTTTATAAAATATATATGAATATCTGGTGTGGCGCGCGCTGTGTACTCTCTCCGAGGATCGTCGGGAAAATGGCTCCTGCAAATTCCTTCTCTCTCGTTTATTAATCACGTGATTTTCCACGTCACTACGCTTCGACCAATGGCCGTTTTGCCCGGTGCATGAGGGTTAGGAACTGTTAGGACTTTGTTAGGAATGTGTTAGGACTTTGTTAGGAATGTGTTAGGACTTTGTTAGGACCTCTTTGAACTGCGTTAGGATGCGTTAGGAACTGATTGCCAGTCCGTTGCCGGAGGGTACGGCCACAACTACATAAAACAGCCTTGCTTCATCGATGAGCAATGTCTGAACGTATTCCCATGCAATTTGTTTGAGAAAAGTATAGGCTTCACTTAGGGACCCTGCTCAGGTATTTCGGCAACAAAGCAGTGGAGTTGGTTCTTTCTATGCACAGTGCCATCCTGACACACATAAGCTACAGCGTCGTGGACCATGCTCGGGTATAACCAATACTTTCCAAATAAAACACCATTACATTACTTGAAATAGAAGCACTGATTTCATCAATAAGTGCTACTCTTTGGGGCAGTCTCATCTGTGTATTTGACATTACTTACTTTGTGTGAGTCCTGCGATGTTTCTCGGCTGAAAGTCACCCTAATTGTAGCACATTTACTGCAGTTTTAAAGTAAGTGCTAGCAAGTTGGGGCATAAGCGTGAGCTGTTAGTTTGAAGGGGAAATCAGTGTCAGGTGTTTTCAGTCTATGGCATAACCAAGCCACCTTCTTACTGTTCAAGGGTACCCGGTTAATACACATCATTTAATACTTGACGTAAAACACAGTTACAAAACATTTAACTCAAAGGAGCTACTCCACTCACCAGCGGTAGCAGTCAGGAATTCCAGGAAATATCCCGTTTTACCATTAAATACATTTCTAGTATGTTAAGAGAGATAATACACTTTAGTCGTTAGCTTACATTTAGTGTGAATGGTTGGCGGGGGGCGCTAACCATTCTATTGGACCGTCTTTACAAGCCTTAGCAGGAATGGAGCGTAAGACAGGGCTTAAGTGCAACTCCTTGGCCAAGCATCTTTTCAAGCCTTTTCAAGCCATTTCTAACCCCAACCCTAAGCTGTACATGATGTGAAAGAAAACGTGATTCCTCAGACCAAGCCACCTTCTTACTGCTCCACTGTCCTGTGCTGATGCTCATGTGCAGTTTCTATGAGCTTTTGATGGAAGAAACTGGCCAGCATAGCTAGTGTAGAGGCCACCATTTTCTTGGTTTTCGTCCCTGGTTGTCTAGTGGTAAGGATTTGCGCTCTCACCGCCGCGGCCCGGGTTCGATTCCCGGTCAGGGAATGGTGTTTTATCCACCGCTGGCCAAATTAACATTTAAAAAGAAACCATATCACACAGAGAAATCCGTCCTTCGAGCCGCTCTACCAACTGAGCTATCGGAGGTGAAGCGAAGCTCAATCCATGTATATCTATAAAACCATTCGGTATATCGATATATAAGGTGCGAATTTATCCCAACTGAGCAAGCCACTAAGTGGTGACGGTGGCAAGGAAAAACTCCCTAAGATGTTAAGAGGAACAAACCTTGAGAGGAACCAGAATCAGAAGGGAACCTATCCTCATCTGGGTAACATCAGATAGTGTGAAAAAGATGATTATGGATTCATATGGAGTCTCTTTGGCCTTAGAAGCAGCTGTAGTCCCAGCAATCTGGAATTGGAGTAGATGAGAGCTCCATCCAGAGGTAGGCCATCCAAAATGGATCAGGTAGGTCCAGAGCGCAGGGGATCAGGATCTCTAGTATCTCCATAAAATCGGGTGTGGCTCGACAGAAGGAGGGAGGGAGAGAAAAAAACTAGGACTGTGCTTAGCATAAGAGAAAGTCTAGTCAGGGTAGGCTTGATTAAACAAATACGATTAAAGCCTAGACACTGAGACTGTGCCTGAGTCCCGAACTCTAATTGGAAGACTGTTCCATAAGTGTGGGGCTCCAGAAGAAAAGCTCATCCTCCTGTTGTAGCCTTCGCTATTCGAGGTGCGAACAAATAGCCTGCATCTTTTGATCTAAGTAGGCGTGGCGGATCATAGAAAAGCAAAAGGTCGCTTAGATACTGCGGCGCGAGACCATTTAGTTAATTATGGGTTACTAATAGTATTTTATAATATAAAGTATTTTATAGTTATCTTTGATAAGTGAGCTAGCAAACGAGATCGATTTTCTATTCGAATTTTGCTCTTCACAAGCAAAGCGGCAAAGTGATTTAAGGAAACACTAGACTATTTTTTCTGGAGCCAATAAACGTGTTTGTGCATCTTTATATTCTCATGTTTCTGCCCTTCTTCAATACATTTACTTCAATTAAGTAACTAGACCATTTACAACTTTACATGTACACATTCGATTCAGTTCAAATCAATTTTATTTGTGTAGCGCTTTTTACAGTGGACATTGTCTCAAAGCAGGATTCGTTTGACTTCCTTTACGTCAATGCAATTTCCCAGGATGGAAGATGTGTTTGGCACGAGCTTGTTTGATGAATGCCAAGGTGCTTTGTTGCTCATCTTCATAAAGATTCTCTGCATTAAGACTCAGGTTCATAGCAGGCTTCAACTTGCACAGGTAAAGCCCCAGTGCAGTTCAAGTCCAGTGCCATATTCTGTTGGCCATCACGGGTATGGGGCACAGGACAAGGCTTAAGCGGCGGGCCTAACCATTCTATTGGACCGTCTTTACAAGCCTTAGCAGGAATGGAGCATAAGACAGGGCTTAAGTGCAACTCCTTGGCCAAGCGTCTTTTCAAGCCTTTTCAAGCCATTTCTAACCCCAACCCTAAGCTGTACATGATGTGAGAAAACGTGATTCCTCAGACCAAGCCACCTTCTTACTGCTCAAAGGGTGCCACGGTTAATACACATCATTTAATACTTGACGTAAAACACAGTTACAAAACATTTAACTCAAAGGAGCTACGCCACTCACCAGCGGTAGCAGTCAGTAATTCCAGCAAATATCCTGTTTTACCATTTAATACATTTCTAGTATGTTAAGAGAGATAATACAGTTTAGTTGTTAGCTTACATTTAGTGTGAATGGTTGAGCAGCGGGCCTAACCATTCTATTGGACCGTCTTTACAAGCCTTTCGAGAATGGAGCGTAAGACAAGGCTTAAGTGCAACTCCTTGGCCAAGCGTCTTTACAAGCCTTACCAGGAATGGAGCGTAAAACAAGGATTAAGTGCAACTCCTTGGCCAAGCGTCTTTCAAGCCACCAAGAAATTGAGCGTAAGACAAGGATTAAGTGCAACTCCTGGGCAAAGCGTCTTTTCAAGCCTTTTCGAGCCATTTCTAACCCACAATAAAGTTTATTATTATTATTATTATTATTATTATTATAACCCTAAGCTGTACATGGTGTGAAAGAAAACATGATTCCTCAGACCAAGCCACCTTCTTACTGCTCCATGGTCCTGTGCTGATGCTCATGTGATTTTCTATGAGCTTTTGATGGAAGACACTGGCCAGCATAACCAGTGTAGAGGCCACCATTTTCTTGGTTTTCATCCCTGGTTGTCTAGTGGTAAGACCGTGTTTAAGTTGTATAAACACAATCATACATATATAAACACAATCGCGGCGCCCTCAGGAAACACAAGCACATGAATAAGGCAGGTAATCAAACTAAACCCAACACCTGCCGTGAGATCACATTCACACTAACCACACCTGCCCGACTCAACTGCACCCCAGCATGTCAACTACATTATGAACAGTCTTATCAACAAAGTGCAGCATGTCAGAAGTGGGATTTGAACCCACACCTCCAGAAGAGACTGAAACCTTAACACAGCGCCTTAGACCACTCGACCATCCTGACTAAAAAGCCAAAAACTATGCAAAGGAAATTCCAAACTATGCAGGGGCATTTATTTAAACAAGCTCTCAGGAACAGCCCAATACCCCCTCATCAGAGGTGCAGCAAAGGAACCAAATGTCAGAAATGGGATTTGAACCCACGCCTCCAGGGAGACTGCGACCTGAACGCATGGCGCTCGCAGACCGCTCGGCCATCCTGACACACTTAAGCTACAGTGTCGTGGACCATGCTCGGGTATAGCCAATACTTTCCAAATAAAGCACAATTAGATTACTTGAAATAGAAGCACTGATTTCATCAATAAGTGCTACTCTTTGGGGCAGTCTCATCTGTGTATTTGTCATTACTTACTTTGTGTGAGTCCTGCGATGTTTCTCGGCTGAAAGTCACCCTAATTGTAGCACATTTACTGCAGTTTTAAAGTAAGTGCTAGCAAGTTGGGGCATAAGCGTGAGCTGTTAGTTTGAAGGGAAATCAGTGTCAGGTGTTTTCAGTCTATGGCATAACAATCAGGTGTGAGTGAGTACCATGTCTGATTTGAGGAACAGGGATCAGTCAAAGTCTGACCTTCACAACACATGTTTGTTAAAGTGTATCATGCTAGGCAAAAATTTTTATTTGTGAGGATCTGGGAAAAGGCTTTCGGATGAGGGGGCCCGAGAGGTTAAGGCGATGGACTGCTAATCCATTGTGCTCTGCACGCGTGGGTTCGAGTCCCACCCCTCTCGCCAGAACAGGTTGTTTTGCCTCCACTTTACAACAACCTCTGGCTTGGGTGCAGTCTGTCTCACACATACAAGGCCTACAGGTGACAGGCTCTGGACAGATCCATGAGACAGAACAAGTGTGGGTGGAGAAACATGAAAAGCTAGAATTGCAATGGCAAACAATGTGCATCACATCCTCCTTTATTCTCCACAGACTCCACAGACTGGCATGTAATTTCATAAGTGTGAGTTATGTCAGCAATAGGTTAAGTTGATGGACTGCCAATCTGCTGTGCACAGTCTGGATTTGAATCAAGAAGACTTTTAATGCAGGTTTAATGCAAGTTCTCATTCGTAGTTTGACAGACAATACTGTCCAAATTAAACACCATTACATTACAGGAAATAGAAGCACTGATTTCATCAATAAGTGCTACTCTTTGGGGCAGTCTCAGCTGTGTATTTGACATTACTTACTTTGTGTGAGTCCTGCGATGTTTCTCGGCTGAAAGTCACCCTAATTGTAGCACATTTACTGCGTTTTAAAGTAAGTGCTAACAAGCTGGGGCAACTTTCAGTGAATTTGGACACCACAAATGTGGAGTGTGAAACTATAATCACATTCATTGTTGTTGAGATTCTAACTAAAGTGTTTCTCTTTATAAATATCTATTAAAATTCTTGCACATATGCTTAGTGAAACATGTGTTGAAATCTCTTAGAGCAATACTTTTTAATACATCAGTGAGAGCATCATTTGGCTGTGTACCTACTCTCAACCTAGCGTGATAACTGCCTGTCAACGTGTGAATGACCTGGTTCATTCACAAGGAGTGATCTGCCATCATCACTTCTATTGTCACATTGGCTTCTGTGGGTTGGACTGTGAATCATCTCAATTTCCGATCAGACTCCAAGCATTGCAATGAACATCACTTGACTCAGGCCCCTCAGAATGAAAAAGTGGTCAACTGGTAAACTCTCAGTGGACAACTTCTAGGAAAGCAGGCATGCACTGATTACATTTGTCATGGTAAACATGGCAGGAGAAGATGCAAAGAAGTAGACCACCTATCTGTCTTATTGTCACCGTTGATATCCTATCAATGGCTCTGACCTTCCTGAATGGTAAGTACTATTTGTTGGGGTGATGTTGGGTGATTCAATCAACTAAAGATACTATATTTTTGTTTACAATGTATTAAACGTTAAACAGTTTGGACAACATCCAATACTTTCAAAAGAAATCACAATTCGATTACTTCAAATAGGAGCAACTTGATTTGCATTACATTCGTAAGTGCTTCTCGTTGGGGCAGTCTCATCTGTGTATTTGACTTTACTGTCTTCTGTGACTGCTGCAATGTATCTCTGGATGTTACCCCAATTGTATCACATATACTTCAGTTTTAATGTGATTTTCTGAAAGCCTTGATACCTTTCAGTGACAGCAATAATATGAAATTACTGTCTTCTGTGACTGCTGCAATGTATCTCTGGATGTTACCCCAATTGTATCACATATACTTCAGTTTTAATGTGATTTTCTGAAAGCCTTGATACCTTTCAGTGACAGCAATTATATGAAATGTTGAAACGGTGACATTTTTTCACTTCATACAGATTAAGTTGAACTGTTCCCAGTGAATTTGGTGAAATTTATTCTGCCAACTGTGTGTTTGTTTGTTTTTTTCTTCACATGAACTATCATCAGAGCTATTGTCCCTTTTCATTTTGATGCTGGGCAGATCCTGAACATTCATTGGAATGACACCGGACTCAGATAGAAAAGCATTGCATTTGTTCAATTGGCAAATTCTCAGTAGCAGGTATGTAACAACTGTGAACAGCAATTAATGCACAGTGAGGAAGATTGTCACTAATGCTAGCCAAGTACTGGCCTGTCTGAAAGGCAAACCAAACTTCAGACGTAGTTGGCAGGAGTCGAACCTGCGCGGGGAGACCCCAATGGATTTCTAGTCCATCGCCTTAACCACTCGGCCACAACTACATAAAACAGCCTTGCTTCATCGTCGACCAATGTCTGAACGTATTCCCATGCAATTTGTTTGAGAAAAGTATAGGCTTCACTTAGGGACCCTGCTCAGGTATTTCGGCAACAAAGCAGTGGAGTTGGTTCTTTCTATGCACAGTGCCATCCTGACACACATAAGCTACAGCGTCGTGGACCATGCTCGGGTATAACCAATACTTTCCAAATAAAACACCATTACATTACTTGAAATAGAAGCACTGATTTCATCAATAAGTGCTACTCTTTGGGGCAGTCTCATCTGTGTATTTGACATTACTTACTTTGTGTGAGTCCTGCGATGTTTCTCGGCTGAAAGTCACCCTAATTGTAGCACATTTACTGCAGTTTTAAAGTAAGTGCTAGCAAGTTGGGGCATAAGCGTGAGCTGTTAGTTTGAAGGGAAATCAGTGTCAGGTGTTTTCAGTCTATGGCATAACCAAGCCACCTTCTTACTGTTCAAGGGTGCAACGGTTAATACACATCATTTAATACTTGACGTAAAACACAGTTACAAAACATTTAACTCAAAGGAGCTACTCCACTCACCAGCGGTAGCAGTCAGAATTCAGGAAATATCCCGTTTTACCATTAAATACATTTCTAGTATGTTAGAGAGATAATACACTTTAGTCGTTAGCTTACATTTAGTGTGAATGGTTGAGCGGCCGGCCTAACCATTCTATTGGACCGTCTTTACAAGCCTTAGCAGGAATGGGCGTAAGACAGGGCTTAAGTGCAACTCCTTGGCCAAGCATCTTTTCAAGCCTTTTCAAGCCATTTCTAACCCCAACCCTAAGCTGTACATGATGTGAAAGAAAACGTGATTCCTCAGACCAAGCCACCTTCTTACTGCTCCACTGTCCTGTGCTGATGCTCATGTGCAGTTTCTATGAGCTTTTGATGGAAGAAACTGCGCCAGCATAGCTAGTGTAGAGGCCACCATTTTCTTGGTTTTCGTCCCTGGTTGTCTAGTGGTAAGGATTTGGCGCCTCACCGCCCGCGGCCCGGGTTCGATTCCCGGTCAGGGAATGGTGTTTTATCCACCCACGCTGGCCAAATTAACATTTAAAAAGAAACCATATCACACAGAGAAATCCGTCCTTAGAGCACGCTCTACCAACTGAGCTATGGGAGGTGAAGCGAAGCTCAATCCATGTATATCTATAAAACCATTCGGTATATCGATATATAAGGTGCGCAATTTATCCCAACTGAGCAAGCCACTAAGTGGTGACGGTGGCAAGGAAAAACTCCCTAAGATGTTAAGAGGAACAAACCTTGAGAGGAACCAGAATCAGAAGGGAACCTATTCTCATCTGGGTAACATCAGATAGTGTGAAAAAGATGATTATGGATTCATATGGAGTCTCTTTGGCCTTAGAAGCAGCTGTAGTCCCAGCAATCTGGAATTGGAGTAGATGAGAGCTCCATCCAGAGGTAGGCCATCAAAAATGGATCAGGTAGGTCCAGAGAGCAGGGGATCAGGATCTCTAGTATCTCCATAAAATCGGGTGTGGCTCGACAGAAGGAGGGAGGGAGAGAAAAAAACTAGGACTGTGCTTAGCATAAGAGAAAGTCTAGTCAGGGTAGGCTTGATTAAACAAATACGATTAAAGCCTAGACACTGAGACTGTGCCTGAGTCCCGAACTCTAATTGGAAGACTGTTCCATAAGTGTGGGGCTCCAGAAGAGAAAGCTCATCCTCCTGTTGTAGCCTTAGCCTATTCGAGGTGCGCGAACAAATAGCCTGCATCTTTTGATCTAAGTAAGCGCGGGCGGATCATAGAAAAGCAAAAGGTCGCTTAGATACTGCGGTGCGAGACCATTTAGTTAATTATGGGTTACTAATAGTATTTTATAATATAAAGTATTTTATAGTTATCTTTGATAAGTGAGCTAGCAAGGCGATCGATTTTCTATTCGAATTTTGCTCTTCACAAGCAAAGCGGCAAAGTGATTTAAGGAAACACTAGACTATTTTTTCTGGAGCCAATAAACGTGTTTGTGCATCTTTATATTCTCATGTTTCTGCCCTTCTTCAATACATTTACTTCAATTAAGTAACTAGACCATTTACAACTTTACATGTACACATTCGATTCAGTTCAAATCAATTTTATTTGTGTAGCGCTTTTTACAGTGGACATTGTCTCAAAGCAGGATTCGTTTGACTTCCTTTACGTCAATGCAATTTCCCAGGATGGAAGATGTGTTTGGCACGAGCTTGTTTGATGAATGCCAAGGTGCTTTGTTGCTCATCTTCATAAAGATTCTCTGCATTAAGACTCAGGTTCATAGCAGGCTTCAACTTGCACAGGTAAAGCCCCAGTGCAGTTCAAGTCCAGTGCCATATTCTGTTGGCCATCACGGGTATGGGGCACAGGACAAGGCTTAAGCGGCGGGCCTAACCATTCTATTGGACCGTCTTTACAAGCCTTAGCAGGAATGGAGCATAAGACAGGGCTTAAGTGCAACTCCTTGGCCAAGCGTCTTTTCAAGCCTTTTCAAGCCATTTCTAACCCCAACCCTAAGCTGTACATGATGTGAAAGAAAACGTGATTCCTCAGACCAAGCCACCTTCTTACTGCTCAAGGGTGCAACGGTTAATACACATCATTTAATACTTGACGTAAAACACAGTTACAAAACATTTAACTCAAAGGAGCTACGCCACTCACCAGCGGTAGCAGTCAGTAATTCCAGCAAATATCCTGTTTTACCATTTAATACATTTCTAGTATGTTAAGAGAGATAATACAGTTTAGTTGTTAGCTTACATTTAGTGTGAATGGTTGAGCAGCGGGCCTAACCATTCTATTGGACCGTCTTTACAAGCCTTAGCAGGAATGGAGCGTAAGACAGGGCTTAAGTGCAACTCCTTGGCCAAGCATCTTTTCAAGCCTTTTCAAGCCATTTCTAACCCCAACCCTAAGCTGTACATGATGTGAAAGAAAACGTGATTCCTCAGACCAAGCCACCTTCTTACTGCTCAACTGTCCTGTGCTGATGCTCATGTGCAGTTTCTATGAGCTTTTGATGGAAGAAACTGGCCAGCATAGCTAGTGTAGAGGCCACCATTTTCTTGGTTTTCGTCCCTGGTTGTCTAGTGGTAAGGATTCGGCTCACCGCCCGCGCCCCGGGTTCGATTCCCGGTCAGGCAAAGTGATTTAAGGAAACACTAGACTATTTTTTCTGGAGCCAATAAACGTGTTTGTGCATCTTTATATTCTCATGTTTCTGCCCTTCTTCAATACATTTACTTCAATTAAGTAACTAGACCATTTACAACTTTACATGTACACATTCGATTCAGTTCAAATCAATTTTATTTGTGTAGCGCTTTTTACAGTGGACATTGTCTCAAAGCAGGATTCGTTTGACTTCCTTTACGTCAATGCAATTTCCCAGGATGGAAGATGTGTTTGGCACGAGCTTGTTTGATGAATGCCAAGGTGCTTTGTTGCTCATCTTCATAAAGATTCTCTGCATTAAGACTCAGGTTCATAGCAGGCTTCAACTTGCACAGGTAAAGCCCCAGTGCAGTTCAAGTCCAGTGCCATATTCTGTTGGCCATCACGGGTATGGGGCACAGGACAAGGCTTAAGTGCAATTTCTTGGATCATTTATGGTTTTATCGTTTATGTTTGATGCTATCCAAAGTGCCAACCGTCTTTCAGCACGTAAGTAGGATTTCCTCGTTAGTATAGTGGACAGTATCTCCGCCTGTCACGCGGAAGGCCGGGGGTTCGATTCCCCGACGGGAGTCTGTTTGCTAAAACGGTGCTCTATTCTTTTGCACACCACGCGAAAGAACCATGAGACAAGGCTTAAGTGCAATTCCTTGGCTTTTTATGTTTTGGTCATTTCCACGTGCCAAGCGTCTTTACAAGCCTTACCAGGAATGGAGCGTAAGACAAGGCTTAAGTGCAACTCCTTGGCCAAGCGTCTTTACAAGCCTTAACAGGAATGGAGAGTAAGACAAGGCTTAAGTGCAACTCCTTGGCCAAGCGTCTTTTCAAGCCTTTTCAAGCCATTTCTAACCCCAACCCTAAGCTGTACATGATGTGAAAGAAAACGTGATTCCTCAGACCAAGCCACCTTCTTACTGCTCAAGGGTGCAACGGTTAATACACATCATTTAATACTTGACGTAAAACACAGTTACAAAACATTTAACTCAAAGGAGCTACTCCACTCACCAGCGGTAGCAGTCAGGAATTCCAGGAAATATCCCTTTTTACCATTAAATACATTTCTAGTATGTTAAGAGAGATAATACACTTTAGTCGTTAGCTTACATTTAGTGTGAATGGCTGAGCGGCGGGCCTAACCATTCTATCGGACTGTCTTTACAAGCCTTAGCAGGAATGGAAGCGTAAGACAAGGCTTAAGTGCAACTCTTGGCCAAGCGTCTTTTCAAGCATTTTCAAGCCATTTCTAACCCCAACCCTAAGCTGTACATGATGTGAAAGAAAACGTGATTCCTCAGACCAAGCCACACCTTTCTTACTGCTCAAGGGTGCAACGGTTAATACACATCATTTAATACTTGACGTAAAACACAGTTACAAAACATTTAACTCAAAGGAGCTACGCCACTCACCAGCGGTAGCAGTCAGGAATTCCAGGAAATATCCCGTTTTACCATTAAATACATTTCTAGTATGTTAAGAGAGATAATACACTTTAGTCGTTAGCTTACATTTAGTGTGAATGGTTGGCCGGCGGGCGCCCATTCTATTGGACCGTCTTTAGAAGCCTTAGCAGGAATGGAGCATAAGACAGGGCTTAAGTGCAACTCCTTGGCCAACGTCTTTTCAAGCCTTTTCAAGCCATTTCTAACCCCAACCCTAAGCTGTACATGATGTGAAGAAAACGTGATTCCTCAGACCAAGCCACCTTCTTACTGCTCAAGGGTGTGCCGGTTAATACACATCATTTAATACTTGACGTAAAACACAGTTACAAAACATTTAACTCAAAGGAGCTACGCCACTCACCAGCGGTAGCAGTCAGTAATTCCAGCAAATATCCTGTTTTACCATTTAATACATTTCTAGTATGTTAAGAGAGTAAATACAGTTTAGTTGTTAGCTTACATTTTAGTGTGAATGGTTGAGCAGCGGGCCTAACCATTCTATTGGACCGTCTTTACAAGCCTTTCCAGGGATGGACGTAAGACAAGGCTTAAGTGCAACTCCTTGGCCAAAGCGTCTTTACAAGCCTTACCAGGAATGGAGAGTAAGACAAGGATTAAGTGCAACTCCTTGGCCAAAGCGTCTTTTCAAGCCTTACCAGAGAATTGAGCGTAAGACAAGGATTAAGTGCAACTCCTGGGCAAAGCGTCTTTTCAAGCCTTTTCGAGCCATTTCTAACCCCAATAAAGTTTATTATTATATTATTATTATTATTATTATTATAACCCTAAGCTGTACATGGTGTGAAAGAAAACATGATTCCTCAGACCAAGCCACCTTCTTACTGCTCCATGGTCCTGTGCTGATGCTCATGTGATTTTCTATGAGCTTTTGATGGAAGACACTGGCCAGCATAACCAGTGTAGAGGCCACCATTTTCTTGGTTTTCATCCCTGGTTGTCTAGTGGTAAGACCGGTGTTTAAGTTGTATAAACACAATCATACATTAAACACAATCACGCAGCGACGCCCTCAGGAAACACAAGCACATGAATAAGGCAGGTAATCAAACTAAACCCAACACCTGCCGTGAGATCACATTCACACTAACCACACCTGCCCGACTCAACTGCACCCCAGCATGTCAACTACATTATGAACAGTCTTATCAACAAAGTGCAGCATGTCAGAAGTGGGATTTGAACCCACACCTCCAGAAGAGACTGAAACCTTAACACAGCGCCTTAGACCCTCGACCATCCTGACTAAAAGACCCAAAAACTATGCAAAGGAAATTCCAAACTATGCAGGGGCATTTATTTAAACAAGCTCTCAGGAACAGCCCAATACCCCCTCATCAGAGGTGCAGCAAAGGAACCAAATGTCAGAAATGGGATTTGAACCCACGCCTCCAGGGGAGACTGCGACCTGAACGCAGCGCCTTAGACCGCTCGGCCATCCTGACACACTTAAGCTACAGTGTCGTGGACCATGCTCGGGTATAGCCAATACTTTCCAAATAAAGCACAATTAGATTACTTGAAATAGAAGCACTGATTTCATCAATAAGTGCTACTCTTTGGGGCAGTCTCATCTGTGTATTTGTCATTACTTACTTTGTGTGAGTCCTGCGATGTTTCCCGGCTGAAAGTCACCCTAATTGTAGCACATTTACTGCAGTTTTAAAGTAAGTGCTAGCAAGTTGGGGCATAAGCGTGAGCTGTTAGTTTGAAGGGGAAATCAGTGTCAGGTGTTTTCAGTCTATGGCATAACAATCAGGTGTGAGTGAGTACCATGTCTGATTTGAGGAACAGGGATCAGTCAAAGTCTGACCTTCACAACACATGTTTGTTAAAGTGTATCATGCTAGGCAAAAATTTTATTTGTGAGGATCTGGGAAAAGGCTTTCGGATGAGGTGGCCGAGAGGTTAAGGCGATGGACTGCTAATCCATTGTGCTCTGCACGCGTGGGTTCGAGTCCCACCCTCATCGCAGACAGGTTGTTTTGCCTCCACTTTACAACAACCTCTGGCTTGGGTGCAGTCTGTCTCACACATACAAGGCCTACAGGTGACAGGCTCTGGACAGATCCATGAGACAGAACAAGTGTGGGTGGAGAAACATGAAAAGCTAGAATTGCAATGGCAAACAATGTGCATCACATCCTCCTTTATTCTCCACAGACTCCACAGACTGGCATGTAATTTCATAAGTGTGAGTTATGTCAGCAATAGGTTAAGTTGATGGACTGCCAATCTGCTGTGCACAGTCTGGATTTGAATCAAGAAGACTTTTAATGCAGGTTTAATGCAAGTTCTCATTCGTAGTTTGACAGACAATACTGTCCAAATTAAACACCATTACATTACAGGAAATAGAAGCACTGATTTCATCAATAAGTGCTACTCTTTGGGGCGGTCTCAGCTGTGTATTTGACATTACTTACTTTGTGTGAGTCCTGCGATGTTTCTCGGCTGAAAGTCACCCTAATTGTAGCACATTTACTGCAGTTTTAAAGTAAGTGCTAACAAGCTGGGGCAACTTTCAGTGAATTTGGACACCACAAATGTGGAGTGTGAAACTATAATCACATTCATTGTTGTTGAGATTCTAACTAAAGTGTTTCTCTTTATAAATATCTATTAAAATTCTTGCACATATGCTTAGTGAAACATGTGTTGAAATCTCTTAGAGCAATACTTTTTAATACATCAGTGAGAGCATCATTTGGCTGTGTACCTACTCTCAACCTAGCGTGATAACTGCCTGTCAACGTGTGAATGACCTGGTTCATTCACAAGGAGTGATCTGCCATCATCACTTCTATTGTCACATTGGCTTCTGTGGGTTGGACTGTGAATCATCTCAATTTACGATCAGACTCCAAGCATTGCAATGAACATCACTTGACTCAGGCCCCTCAGAATGAAAAAGTGGTCAACTGGTAAACTCTCAGTGGACAACTTCTAGGAAAGCAGGCATGCACTGATTACATTTGTCATGGTAAACATGGCAGGAGAAGATGCAAAGAAGTAGACCACCTATCTGTCTTATTGTCACCGTTGATATCCTATCAATGGCTCTGACCTTCCTGAATGGTAAGTACTATTTGTTGGGGTGATGTTGGGTGATTCAATCAACTAAAGATACTATATTTTTGTTTACAATGTATTAAACGTTAAACAGTTTGGACAACATCCAATACTTTCAAAAGAAATCACAATTCGATTACTTCAAATAGGAGCAACTTGATTTGCATTACATTCGTAAGTGCTTCTCGTTGGGGCAGTCTCATCTGTGTATTTGACTTTACTGTCTTCTGTGACTGCTGCAATGTATCTCTGGATGTTACCTCAATTGTATCACATATACTTCAGTTTTAATGTGATTTTCTGAAAGCCTTGATACCTTTCAGTGACAGCAATAATATGAAATTACTGTCTTCTGTGACTGCTGCAATGTATCTCTGGATGTTACCCCAATTGTATCACATATACTTCAGTTTTAATTAATTACTATTTTTG